GTGCTGGGTGCATCGTTGCTAGACCCTCTGACTCCGATACCTAGGAGGAGCTCCTTCAGCGGCGGGTTGTTGTGAGACATCCCCTTCTACTAACTCGCACTATACCTTCCTTTCTCTAGTGCAGTAGTAAGGTGATGGCTTCCTGTACAGTTGTATTGGTGAGAAGTCAATGTAACTGCCTGGGGGTGATTCAGGCACGGCTAGTGTGGTTCGTAACGGGGCCTTGTACATATGAGGAAATAATCGTGCCAGTGGAGGTCCGAATGTCCTATTCAAGCTTTATCTCAACACTAGACTTGGTAGAAGCTGAGATGAGTAGGGGTACTCAGTATCACTCAGGTCTAATGGTCATTCTCGCGGAGACACCCCGGCAGGGCGTGAGAACAGGGGTGCCGTTGTTATGAGGAAACATATGTAGGGAAATAGTATTCCACTACTAATGGCTCGTTACTCGACCTTTTAGGTATGTTTTTGTGGTTATTCAGAATACAGCTGGCTTGATGATGACTTCCACTCCTTCAACTTCGACACGTCTACTTGGGCATCTGTTGAGGTCATTCCAGTAGCATTTCGCCCAGACAACACAGACAAGGCGTCAAGTGATGTGCAGCGTGCGGAGTTGGTGATAATAAAACACAAAAAGTATTCACGTTGGCAATGTCCTTAACTACTTGAATATTCATGTTATACTTTGTGTGTATGAGAACTAATCAAGTGAGTGTATACTGTCGTCTCTATATACCTATTTCAAACTACGGTTTTGAGTTATCAGTAGTGCAGAGCTTCTGCTAGTCTGCCCTGAGCCAAGTCCATGGTCTCGTATCTATTGATCGAGATGATTGAGGCAAGAAAGGGGATCTTCCTCGAACGAGCGGAGCGATTATTACACTTGAAGTTTTTTTAACATGGCAGGAGAACGTCGAGTTAGACACCGAATCCTCTCGTGGCTTCTACCGGTCATCATCGTTGCCCTGGGGACCACGATATCGTGGAGTATGGCTATGCATCTAGAAACGGCTCCATCATCAAGTACTCTCCCAGGTGGTACAGTGGATATAGGTTCTCGTGTTGTAGCTCCCAGTCGCGATTCCCCCTCGGTTGCCGATAACAAACAGCTCTTCTCTGGCGAGTAAGGAGGGATGCGGTATGAGTCCTTCATCTCAATCCAGTCTCTTCTCGACGAGAAGTTCTCGTGACTACATGTAGTCACTATGAGTCCTATTTGTTCAGGTGGGCGATCGGAAGCCTCCATCAGTGCTCCCCAAGGCCGATACGAGAGGACTTTTCCTCGTGGGACGTGGATGCATATCAAGTGCAACACTGCCCGCCGAAGGATAGCAGAGGTAGAAGACTAGTATCCGTTGCTCACCAGCTTCGGGGTCGACTAATGGCTCGAGTCAGTAGCCTCAGCAGGAGGCCCTTTAGTACCCCACCTCCACATGGGAGAGCGGACGCCTAGAGTTCGCACTCGTAATCAGCCTAGGATTACGAACGGAAACTTCTGTCACTCCCTCAGGCAGACTCCTAGCGTTCATCGGAGTATTACCTGCTCATATGCTTCAGGTGCTGCATATCACTTCGTACTAGCCAACTCAACACATCCTCTCAATAACATCTGCGATGAGGATACTGGACTTTGCCACCTCCCGAAGAGCATCTACCGGGTGCTCGACTGATTCTACGCTCTGGACGAGTACCCACGAGTACTCCCATCGGAAGAAGTGGAGTATCCGATCAGAAGCCTCGGTCCAAGATGA